AAAACAAAGAAAGAAACTGAAGCCATTCCAAGAAAAGAACAATTCAGTTGGTGTGAAACATTTATTAGGAAATAAACCAAGTACGTAAAATGCCCAAAAAAAAGGCAGAAAAAAAAGTCAACTCAAAACTGAAGAAACTGATTTCCAATCAGGGGGAAAAAATGAATAAAAACGACAAACAACTAGAACCATTTGCAAGAATCAAACGCATTTGAGCTGCAACGTTTTATTTGTGCCAATGTACAAATGAAAATGCATGTACCTCGTACCTTGTAAATATAAAAAGGAAAAACAAAAAGAACACCTTTTCTACAATCTACAATGCTGTATGCATCAAACCCGAGAATCATTTTCCGTCTTCTCACATAGGTAAAAATTCTACAGGTGTTATTCTACTGTTCTGGTTTCTGTTTTAACGATCGACTACTTGGAATACAGCAACATTCATCATAAACATTAGTAAATTGGTCATCGTTTCAAGACGCCAAAAGTTATAATTAGCAGTACCATGATCCTAACCTTATTAAAGGTTGTTTATATGATTACAATAAATATCACACGTGATAATAAAACCCCAAAGAAGGAATGCTTTCATTATATATATAATATATATTATATATATACACACAATCGTCCCATGAATATGCAAGACAGTCTATTTACATAAATTTGCATGACCATTTAACTCTGCTTGACTGCCCTACCCATTAGGCAACTGGCTTGAAAACTGTACAGTCATTAAATACAATGTCTTTGGCTGAGGAAAGAAGCAACGAAAGGCGTAAAGTTTGAGAGACAGAAAATTGCGAGGGAGAACTCGCTAGCTTCCGACAGACTGCTGTGGGCTGGGACTGGTGTGGAAATTAATATCCTCGGGCTCACTGTGAAAGTGTAATTCACCTTCAATTTGTCAAACAGTCTGACAGTTTTTTATTAGATAATTAAATTTGATGTAATCTTGTTGACGTTTGTATCAGTCTTAAGCCGTAAAAATTGGCAATTTGTTGGTTCCTACTGAAATTAATTCTCATGACTTTTCTCACCTCCCAGCCCACATAATGCATAGTTGCTACAACTATGGGTGAATTGATCAACGTTACTCTTTTCAGTGCTCTAAACAAACGTCACAACTGACCAATATTACGGCTGACGTTGAACTAATGAAATGTCCTCAAAGGCACATCTACCGAACGAAATTAATAAAAGAAAGAAAAATCATTCCTCTTCTACCATACCTTTGAAAAAATCTACACTTCTCTTTCATATTTTATTTGATCTAGTATTTACACACAGTCCTTTGTCTACTCTACATCTGTTTAAATATTTGTTTTTTTTTCATTATTATAACTTTCATAAAACATGATTTGGAAAACACCAAGTATATTGAATAGTACTATGGATATTAAGACACTGCAAATGAAGAATCATTCTTTCTGTCAGGTATATATTACATCTTCTCATGAATGTATGTAAAAATCAACAAACAGTCAATAAGATTTTAAAACTGTTCATATAGCCCATTCACTTTTTTTTTTACAATGCAAATCTGAATAAATGAAGAAAAAACAAGCAATCGATTTCCTAGAAACCAGTTTGTTTTCTTTCGAAAACTTTCATGATTGTTTGTTAAATGCTATACATGTACATCATTTCTCTTGGCAAATGGTTGTTGTCAGCCTTTCTTTAATTTTTGGATTCTGTTCAGTTATTCCGGAAAGCACATGCTCAATCTCTAGTAACCCTTCAACTTTGACCTTTGTTGAGAATTCATGAAAAAAAGGAAAGAAGATGGGTAACAAGATTGGCCATGCTGGTGTGAAATAAAAAAAATAATAACACATTTCCTTCACAGATTTTCTTCATGAAACTGTTGTCTGACAATTCAAGTACATGTACATGCCAAAAACTTTCTGTATTTTTATCTTCTCTGCAATTCAAATCTGAACAAGAACAAAAATTACTCAGCAATTCGTTATTAGTGAACAGCACAGACAAGGGGCATCTCACATTTATAGTACTGACGTAAACGTCTGTGGTTGATTTATATTATGGGGAACATTAGGCCTACTACATGAGTGGATTTTTTTTTTTTTAATATGACTGTAGCGCAATTGGGTCTAATTTTAGAAATGTGCCCTTCACAAATGCACGTATATCAGGCTAAAAAAAGGTAAGGTTTGCAAAAGTTAACAGAAATTATTTTTGAATTTTGGGCTTGCTCACTTATTAAAGATGGAAATAGAAGGGAAAAAGTTGTCGATGCTGTTATTTAAGAAGAAAAAAAAGAATACAGAAACAAGAGCAAGTCCAGTTGACCAAAATATCATGGCAACAAAATATTGTTTCATTTTGAAGTTAAAATTGGAATATGGATTAATTATACATTGATACGGATGGAAAAAAAAGTCAAAGCTCTGTGGTACATGTATAAATAATTTGTTGACTGAGAGTAAAACGCCAAGGTACTATGAGAGGCGTTAACCTGCATACATGTATTTCCATTAAGGAACTATGTCTGGCATGATGATCTGTACAATTTGAATGATATTATTGGTAATTGAATACAGGAAAAATTGCACCAAGTATCTGAAAGATGTCCCAATGCTACACATTCTACTGACCTCTAATGTCTTGATAACATTACATTTTCAATTTAACAAAAACAAATCAAAACAAATCATAAAATCGAGCATGAAACTTAAAACAAACGTAATTGAAATTTACAAAATATGAATTCAACCTTTTTCTTTTTTTTTACAAAAATAACCCAAGTTGAAATAAATTACATAATTTTTAATTCTTGAAACTGTACCCTTATCACGGGTATTGCATCCCTCTTTATAAAAGCAGAAAAAAAATCAAACAAAAAGTCAAGATAATCAAAACTCCAAACATTGCAATCAACAAACTTTGTACAAAACCTTTTTTTTTTATTGCAAAGAATGACGGAAAAACTAACAAGTTCTGTGATCCAAGCAAATATGCTCCCGCAAGAATTGCTCGTCTTCACACCGTTCAAAAATCCCATCAAAATTATATGGCATTTCCTTTTTTCCCACATTAAATTATAAATCTTGCAAAAACTGCATCAAATAAGTATGTACTTGTATCGTCTTTTCAAAATCTCATCAACATCATGTCCTTTTTTTAATTCAAAAAGGAAGCTTAATTTCCCATTTGCTTAAAGTAAAATGTACTGATGACACATGCATGTTTATGCCCACTGGTAAAATATTACTAAGAAACGTTTTCTCGTTGGTGTATGTGCGGTTTTCTTTTTTTACTATTCAGTACTTTATAAGACTCATGACCCATTTAATTAGAAGGAAAAAAACCTATGGAATTCCGATAAGGACTTTTTGGCATACTGTGCCGAGTGTATAAGCAATAACTTCCCAATATATACTTGGATAGCTGTTTACCGAATTTCAAATTCCATGTAAATCTTCTCATTTACCAAAAAAAATGCATTTACATGATAATGTACACGTTCCCTCTTCACATAAAAAGACAATAGTTTACAGGGGCTTGGATTTTTTGCTCTTAAAAATATACATGAACATGAAAAGTGGTATGAAACCATAAAGATTGTATTGAGAATATCTCGTCAAAAGGTCGTTTTGCCTCCGTCAAGATTAACAAAAGTATATATGCTTGAGACTGGCAATATACAAATGCACACTTATAATATAAGATTACATATTAGTGTGCGATATGTGATATAGGTACCATATACAATAGGATCATGACATGTTACAAGAGATATTACGGGATATAAACCCATGACCATTAGGGGACTATCATACACAGAGTGGGGAGAGTTCTTTATATTTGGAACATCTTATCACTTCTCAAGAAGTTCGGAGCAAGCAATCTGACAAGTTGTCCAATGATTTTTTTTTTTGATATCGAAGTGCGGATGCCATGTTGTTTATTAATAGCATGGTAAAAATGTATGTACAGCTAATTTCCTGTATCGTGAGTTACAGAATGAACTTTCTAAGAGCATCAACCCAACTCCCCCTGCTATTTTTCTTATCTGCCTAGAGACAGAGAGCGCATTGTTACGGGGTTCAAATCTTGAATTACTATGAGACTCCGAGCACAAGTAAACCCTCATTAGTGACCAAAAATATCATAGCTGCCACACCAGGGGCTACTGACTGTAGTGGCAAAATGCCAACTATATGTACAGTTCGTGGACGAAGCGCCCTCTATGTTCATGCAAGGTGCCATTTGACAAGCCTGGATGGCGAGCAGATTTGCATAATGTGCCAACTTGACTTCTGAAGCAATGGCAATAATACTGATGAACACGCATTGCAGATTACGTAGCGCAGAGGCAAAATTGGAGACATTAAAATAGGGTCTATAGACTGCCTAGAGCGTGACTGTTGAATTTTTCCAAACGTGAGGCCAGTTGGGGCATCCCATCGAGTGTTTACATACAACTGTTGATTTTGCCCCATTTTTCATTTCAAAAAGAAATGCTAGGACTTGCCTGACTAGTAATAAAGGCAATCAAACTTGACTTTTATTTAATATTGGGTATGGAATGCACTGTCTTCAGGTAGATGTACATGCAACAATTGAATAGTTAGTTTTTGGCAGACAGTGTCTGGGTCAGGTACGCGTACATGTAACGTTCAATTCCAACAGCTTAGTATGTATAGTGTGGTTACGACCATGTAGAGCAGGAAACCATCAAAATGTACATTTGTAATATGGCATGTATTTGGGGGCATTGAAGCAGTACATGCACAGATGGAACTAGCTTTTCAACTGACTGGAATCAAAGAGAAACAGTGTCGTAACAGTTTGTTATACAACCACAGAGCAAAAAAGGTCACGAATCAGTTTTACGACCGAAGCAACTCGCACGGAACCAGGCCCATTGTCAAGGGGGGGGGGGGGGGCCTGGTGGGGCCGGGCCCCCCTCCCCCAAACGGCAAAAGCCGTGTGTATTTTTGAATTTTTAAGGTAATGGGCCCCCCTAGTTGGTAATTTGCCCCCCCCCCCCCCCCCCGATGCTCAGGGCACGGATCCTTTGAAGTTGAGGGAGTTGAAACTCCTGTTCCTTGCTCTATGATACAACATACATGTACAGTACTGCTGGTATGCTTGTGAATGTACTATGTGCGGCAAGATCAAAACATTATTTTGTACCAAACTGTACTTCAACTTTAAAGGGGCAAATAACGATGGATCATTCATTTTTTTTGCGTGAAAATGACGTGACAACAAACCAATGATCGATCATAATGTTAGGCTGTAAAAATTCTGTGCCCAACCCCCCCCCCCCCCAAAAAAATACCTTGCCATAAAAGGTTGATGGTTGAAATCCTGCTCCACATTTTATGTAAAACTGAACGGGGAAAAAAAATCTTTGAACATCGATCTTATCATCTGTGGCACAAAATGGGTTGCATTTTGAATTTTGGAGTCAATCCCTTTTAGTGCTGATGCTGCTCTGGCCAAAATACTGTGCGTTCATTATGCTTACAATTTGTCGGCTTGATCACCATTGTGATCGCCAGCCATATGGTAACCTTCGCACACTTGTTGAAAGTATAGTCACAACGGGGGGTTCATGGCCAATATTCCCACTGCGTAATTACAAGACTGAATACTAATAATGATGATGCCAACCCCAGCCTTGACTGCTATCGATGTACGCAGGTATAGGCCTAATTACTATCACCGTCATTATCGTCATCATCATCACCACTGCTACTCACAAATATATTTATAGATACATATCAAAAAGCGTATTATACACTGGCGAATCAATTTTCATAAGGCAATCAAATAATAAGAAGCTAAATGGATGAATAGCAATGCGTTTAGCCCATTGTTCTGATGGTCCTTGGTTGTTTGGAACCAGCCTCCCCCCTTGTAGTGACCTGTGCTATAGTGCCGACACGCGGACCACCCCAGGACTGGACCTGGTACTCACTGTAGTGTTGAGGGAGTCCCCGTCTCCGGCCACGCTGGGTGGCATCATGGTGACTATGGCCTCGGTCACCGTGGTCGTGCAGTTCATCTTCGGGTAGGGGTCCAGCGACAGGTCTTCCTTAGTGATGGCCGGGTTGGCGTTGGGGTCGTGCACGTGCACCTCGTTCAGATCCGAGTCGTCCGGGGAAGTAGGCGTGGCCTGGTAACGGTTGCCGCGGGCCCAGCGCGTACAGCAGGTGGAGGCCGATGACTCGGCGTGGTTCCGGCCTGGGTTGTGCAACGCAGATTCGTGGGAGTGGCTGGGGGTGAGGGGCGGGCTCCCCGTGTCCAGGGGACGGGTGAAGGGAATACCGTTGTAGGTATACTCTGTCTCCTGGTACTGCCGTTGCTGTAATAAGGACAAATTAACAATCAACAGTGACTAAGAAAATCTGCAAATAATACAGCTTAATGAGCAAAAATCATGGCCAATCTCCAAACATAACACGTTTTCTTAATGCAACAAATTTATTCAACAGCACCTTCACACAGTTTTTCAACAAGAAGAGTACGTGAAATGAATTGCCACAACATTTAATTATTAAGCAGTTCTTGTTAAGCTACACGATGCACATGCATGACCCTCCCCTCACAGTTGAAGCGATGAATTCTAAACAATATTCCGCCAAGTTCCCTGGCAAATTTTGAGATGTTAACCACAGCTTGATAGTAATTGCTTAAAGACCTGCAGGCTACCGACTATTCCCTTGGTAACCGACACCTCCAATTTTCAAACAGTAACAACATTAAGCCGTAGCCAACTTAAAGGGTAGCCATTGCTTTACCTGTTTCTATGATGGTGTACGTGTACATGGTGAACTAAAATTCAATTTCATTTTGGATAAATTTGACTTTTTTCCCATATTTTTCAAACTAATACATGTATGAATAATTTGCCCATAAATTTTGGCCTGGTTACACAGACATTTAGTGCATAAAAACACAGATTGACCTTCTATCACTCATTAGACAAAGATTAATATTATAGGAAAGTCGTGTCTAGAAGAGTGACGTCCTAATGATGTCTTCATGCGTCATGCGACGTCATCTTAAATGTTCTAATGCCAACTATTTAAAAACTACAAGCTGGATTAGGTTGAACCTTTGTCAATGTAGACAGAGATACATGTATGTTATAGGTGAAAATTGAGGTGATGTCATGATTACGTCATCATGGGTAATGTGATGTCATCTTTGAAATGCATACATCTAGAGAACTGCAAGGCTTACCAAGCAGCAAATAAGTCATAGAACTTTGTTCTTATATTAAATTCACAATTTGCATGACTGCCCATGGACCAAATAAGCATGACTTCACAAAAAATAATATTGCAGAAAAGTCCTATGTTCTGTTCATCGAACAGACATAGTTCTAGTTTGTGAATGAGTTATTCAGTATCATAAATGTATGTGATTTGTTAACATATGGCTGCATAATTATGTAATTATAAGCATGTCGCAGCAGTTAGCATTTTACTACAGCACTACCAGCAAGAGGAGTGCACCAGGACAAGTTATGAATAATGCATGCCACTATTGCATTTCGCCATAACCATACTGATGGCTATTCTACTCTTGTACCAGATTAATGAATAATTCATCAGTATGCATTATTCATAGCAAACAGCACAGGGAGGTTATTGCATTATTCATGATGCTATAAAGCTTTTTTCCTAATTAAGGCATTTGCTTTCCAGTTATTCTATTCCATTTCTAGATGGGGTAATTACAATAGATTGTTCGTTAGTGAGTGTTTCCTAGATCAACTTTGGAGCCAGACTAACTTGAAAGAAGGCAGATATCAAATCTGACCTTGGCTCAAATGACAAGATTATACATGCACAAGAAATAACCGAATAATTATGAATAATAAGGACTGAACTCCACCATTCTTTTTGCATCATTATGACTTAGACTAGACTACATGTAGTATTGCTGACATGAAGGGCGTCTTTTCAATTCATTAGTCACTAATTATTATTTAATGTTTTGTACATGGGGAAAGCATCTGTTTCTTGCTCTATATGCTCTAAGCAATTTCAATCATCTTATTGACTCTGTGTTTGTTGCATTTGTGTTTTTTCCCAGTTTTTTGCTCAGCTCGGCTCAACTCTTCATGGTACAATATCAAATATTGAGGATTTGGTTGCATTGGCCCTTTTCATCTTATACATGTACATTTGTTTTGTGTTTTTGTTTGTTTGCTTTGAGTTGTTGTTTTTGCGGGAGGGGGGAGTTGTTTTAGTCCAAATACTCAAAGTAAAAATAGCAAACACTGAGGACGATTAGGGAAGAATTCAAAATTAAACAAGGGGTACCTCAAGGTTTTAACCTGAGGTACCTCACAAAACCCTGTTAAACCTTCTAAAACCTCGAGATAAACCTCAAAGTAAACCTCGAAGTAACCTCGAAGTAAACCTCGAAGTAAACCTCGAAGTAAACCTCGAAGTAAACCTCCAGGTAAACCTCGAAGTAAACCTCAAGTTGCCACCTGTTTAATTTTGCATTCTCCCCTTTAATACATGCATGTACTGTACATGTAGCTGTTTTTTATACACATGCACCTTGCACTGGGCCCCTACCATAAGTGCAAAGACCCCAATGTGTGCATTTGCTCACAGAGCAATGAAAATTTCCAATTCATTGATGATAAAAGGAATAAAAAAAAACTCATTCAAGGGCACTGACTGGTAATAAACGGGCGGATATGGAGCCTTCTAATGATGTGTGAAATATTCCTAAACTCAAATGGCTGATTTTTTTTCTTTTTCTTATTTTCCTTTTTTCTCTATTTTGTCATTTTAATTTGTTGACATATGTTTTTGTGACATATGATCTGTCGAAATCCTTCCCAAGGTTAAAATTAAGATTTTAGAAAATGATAATTTTAATCAGGTGTTTTGGCAATTTTAGAGCCATCTGAAAAACTAAAAACTAGCCCTGGGAAAACTGCTCTTATGTAAATATGAAATTTTCCCCATGGATGTGAAGGCTTACTGTGGGGTGATCACACTGAATTATTAACCCTTTTATTAATCAATACTAATTATTTTTAGGGGGAAGGGGCATGTTTGGATGCCTTGCTAGGATTATGGGCTTATTACAATGTATGTCTCATGCCGATATATGGCACCATGAGCAACATCCAAACCGGCTGCTTTACGGTTATGGCTTTAGTGTTCCATTCCTCAGTGAATGTACATGTAGCCGTAGCCCTAGTCTTGGTGCAAAACGTTCGTAGCGGGATAATTCACGAGAGATGGTACAGGCTACTGTGCAGCAGCATGATGCATGTTGCACATTGTCTCAATAGAGGGTGCGCTGTTTCAATCCGCAAACCAAACTCGGTTGACGAACCGCATGCAGCCTGTTGGCATATATGTACAAGGCGCCCGCTTCGGTGATCCGCTACACAGTCCATCCTGTGCATGCTGAAACACCGCACCGCTGAGAACGTCTTGGAACCAAGACTACCATATAGCCCAAGTATTCCAGGCACAGCTGCGCTACACAAACAAACCTTAGATTCCCTGAGTATCCCGATATAGTGACATCATTACATGGAACAGACTGATGATCACGTAATCCTGGTTATCAGAGCATTAGGGTTCAATATTTGGCCCAATCTATAATTCCAATTCTAATTAGATAAGAAGATTTCCGACAACTAACGGTTATCTTGATATCACTGCCCTTATGTAATGGTTTGCGCTGTGGGTTATTAACAGTGGGTTATTATTTTCATGAATGTACTTTGTATTCGGAATTTAAAAATCTGAAACTTAATTTTCTGTTGTTGTTGTTTTTTTTAAATTGTAAACTGCATGTACGTGTATTATAAAAGAAAAAAAGTAATATCAAAAAGATGCCTATCTAATATTGGGCTCTTTAAATGAAACTTAGGCATGCAACTGTAAAGCCACCAAACAGAGGAAGTTCCAAGACTTAAAAGACTTTACAGTGTTTTTTCCCCGCAATTTTTAATGGCAATTGGGTTTTTAAGCTCTGGCAGGCCCTTCAACATGTCACTTGGTGGTCGGTCGGTTTTTTTTCAGCTCTGGCAGGGATCATTTTGATTAATTTCAAGCAAGACTTTCATGCAAGACATGGCCAGAGCTTATTGTGCACTCACACATGTTTTTTCTTTAAGAGGAAGTTAGGTTATCCGAGGCAAAGTTGCATGACTGGTTTATTTTCTGACTTCGATTCCCTCTTTTTTTTTATCAACAATCTAATGTTTAATACAGCCAAGAATTCGCCAGGAGTATTAGTTATAATTTTTACTGCTCTAAGTTACTTCACGAAAGTAATACGCATACACATCACAATATCAACATAACTGAAAATTAGAGTAGCCATCTCTTTGAATTTTTTTTGTTAATTTTATTTTTGTTTTTCATAATTTATGCAAATTTCTTTTTTTATTGTTTTGCCACTAAAATATATAAAGACTGAATGATAATCACTGTTTTTTATTTAGCCTTGATGGTATTTCTTAAACATCCAAAAACCAACAGTTTATCAGTTGAAATGCATACATGTATATGTAACTGCTTCCAGCAGTATTTTTTGTACATAAATGCCACAACATTGCTATTCAGAACTCGCTCATCTTGGCAGCAAGCTAGTGGGAGCACAGACAAATGTCCCCTCCCCCAAGTGTACCTACACGTACATTGTAAGCGACAGACTTGCAACAGGGAGGGCACTTTGTAAAATTAAGTTTCAGGGATCAGGGATTAGCCTAATTGGTATTGGCGTTTTGGAGTGCCGGCGAAGAGCTTGCGGTAATTGCGCCTCCGTAAAGCGACTAATTGCAAAGAGTCTGCTGCAGCATATATCAAAACCTGCTGTCAAAATGGAAGCTTCGGTCCCATTCAGTACCGCATAACACCACACTTTTTCTGGTTTTGCGACACTCACAATCTTTGATACCTCAAGTTTTAGCAAGGTTTTGTATGGTATGGTGGTTGCACCTCTTAAGTATTACATTTTTACAGTGATAGTGACGTGACATTCAGACATGTTTACGTTACATACGTAGTGTGACGTAAACGAGTGATTCTTTTCAACTTTCACTCGGGAGGTAACACACCGAGTATACAGTGTTTATACATGTACGTCGGTGACGAGCAAAACCTAATTTGATTTACATCACCCCGACGTAAAATTCCATCTTATGAATACATACGTAGTGTGGACATTCTTTTGTTTTCATGTAGTTAAGAAAAACCTGTGAAAAAAAATCATTTTACTCACACTGTAAAAACTCTTTTAACCAATTTTTTTTGGTATGATTCCCTTTAGTGTTTCTCTTCATTTTGCCACAAATAAACCTAACCCCAAAATGACTCTAAACCTGTTTTCCAGAGAGGGGGAAACATTGTGTGAACGTGGGCAAGTCCACACAACGTCGCTGCTACCTGGTTTATGTGGACATCTTTTGTTCGGAAGTCCACACAGTGAATGTAATGCTTTTACAGCACCACATGTGACACCTCTGTTGAAAACTTTTGCGCCAGACTATTAACAGTGAAACCCTGACTGAGTAAGACTTCAAAGAAAACAAATCAGGAAACTTATCAGCAGGACTACAGTATTTCAAGACAACCATGCTTCAGTTCAACATAATAAACTCATTGTTTTTTTTAAATCCATGCACTAGACTCCATCATCTTTTCTGTGCATACATTCCTCATTGCAAAAGATACTCGAATCATACACGTATAGTTTGTGTTAGTTCAAGGACTACATGCTCAAACACAAAGACATTGAACACAATGTTATTACATTCCTGCAAATCACAATAACCATCCATTCAAATCAATGCACTCAATATGCTTTCTCATCACAATGCAAAAACAACAATTCTTGGACAATGCTTCTCAAATAAATACAGTTTATTCAATCCCAAGGCCAGCCACGTATGCATACATCCAGCCAATTTAGTGCAACGGCTTGAGAACGAACTTGCAACAATTTCAGATACATGTATATATCCACATCTTTACACAAAAACACCAGCTGTATTATTTTTATTCAAGAACAAACCAATCAATAAAAACAGCAACAAACAACTGAAAACATTACAGCCAGATGCAATCTTTCAAATTAAAATAATGCATAAATTTGCATTTCCATTAGCAGTTGTCGCAAGCGCGATCTCAAAAATAATCACAGAGCACAAGAGATTGGATTTTTTCTACACTTTCTTGCAGCATACAACTGATCATCCACACAAGTCATTCAACGATGACTAGCAAATAAATTGCATGGGGACTCCCACAGGGCTCATTACAGAGCAAAAAAAAAAAGCAATTTAGGTCTTAGACAAATCAAATCTGCTATCAGAGTATAAGCCGTGGCAGATTCTGCGGTCCATTTTTGTGTTATGGAGGACCCCTGTTATCGTTGCATTATTAATGGGCGCAGGTAGCAAAGATGATGCATGCACGCTGGGATGAGGCCAATGCAGCATAAATCTAGATATTTCCTAAAAGTTCTAGTAAGGACTTCGTACAAGTCCATTCCAGCAGGGCATAAGTTACATTGTACGGTAGGTACCAATTTTGTGTATTAATAAGGCAAGATGAAGCTTTATACACCTTTATGGGCTCCGTGCACCGGTACTCCCTCAACGGAGAGTTGAGGGAGACCACTGAGAGGGACACATGAACGCATTGCCGACGACGCTGACACTTGCGCGATGACGCTACAGGTTTTTGAACATTCAGAATGAAATAAGTTGTGCGTACTTTGAGCCGTGCGCGCGAACCAGTGCGCGCAGCCCACTGGTCACAAAGCGCCCTCTACTTTCTGCACACGGAGTCCATACAATGTACATTATCATGACGCTCCAAACTTGCATAGAGCTGTGAAAGAATGGTTTTAAAAGAAGACTTTTAGAAGAGCTGACTTTTTATAGCACTGCGAATGAACCCTAATTTCTCTCAAGTGCTGTCGCTTTGTGTTCCCTTTCGATAAACCCCTCTTCTTTCCCTTAATTAATCCACCCGAAAAATGAAGTACTCTTAAAACCTTTTCAAGTTTTTGTATTCCTCAAATCACACTGCATCTGTTCCAAACGGACATCAAGTCTCCAAGTGGAAATTTTCGATGTCACATTTGCAGGTATTCAGCTACGTGGATCTGACTAGTTTGTACGACTACCGATGCCACTGTACATAGAAGAAGCCCACGACTTCCACTGACTTAAATGCAAAAACAAAGGCAAGGACTAGCAAATAAAATGGGGAAACACATCAAATTCTCTCCACCAAAAAGCAAACACCTGATCACAGAGAAACTACTGTTCAAGCAGATACACTGTTCATTTCAAATGCAGGCAGGTAATTATTAACACTGGATATCAGGAACTCTAAACTAGGGAGAAGATGATACTTTTTTTTAATCTTCCAAAAACTAACGAGCTTGAGTCACTTTTGTATTTCAATTTCAAGTGGCACATTCACTTGTCAGCTGAAACATCGTAAGAAAATAAATCTTGAATCTGTGTCACAAATTTACTGAAATTACAGCATTCCATAGAATCTACCAAAACAATTACCTACAGTATGAAAAAAAGTATCTGAAATCATCGTCACCCAGTGTGACTGATATTTTTACAGCATACTTCATTGGACAAACAAGCAGGGAGGTGTGAGTTAGATGACGTTTCTTGCCAACTTCTCTACAATTAATTTGCAATCACTAAAAATTTACAAAATACACTCCATTTGTTAGTTTATTAATAGCATAGAGCTATGTTAAATTACTAGAGCCCTAACTCCTCCTTCTTACTAGCGGAAATACTTTGTAGCCATCCTGCAAGCAGACATGCGCGTTTGTACAACATTGTGAAATTAGATGGAGTGAATTTTGAAAGTGTACTCTAAATTAATGCAACGCGCAAGTAGAACATACGCAACCAACTTAAGCGCGTCATGACGGCTCAAAACACATCACGGCAAAAAGCATCTGCAGCGGATATGCGCACGCGTTTGCGCTTCTTGCGCAGAGCAAAATGAAATGTTCATTTGCTGTGCGTTTCGGTTTTTAGGCGTATCGGCTTCACTAACGCACCTGTATAGAATATAAACGCAGATACCGGTATGCAAATAGCCGTACAAAAGCCGTACAAAATTGTGAGTTTTCCATAGGTTTGTGCACAAACATAAATGCGCCCAGCAGGCATCACTTTGTCAATCGAGCCAGCACTCCAGTAATTTAATATAGCTCTTTAATTAACAGTTAGTTTTTTTTGGTGTTTGTTTTTGTTGAATTGCAGGAAAAACTCCAGCCCCGGATTAATGCCACAAGGGAAGGCCATGCAATACGGGAATCATACAGTACATCATTGACTTGTTATACAACAGAGCGTTGCTCAGAGCAGAGAGCTATATAGAGAGGGTTTGTGAAAAGCAGGAACCACAAAGCAAGGTGGGGATTTTCCAAAGAAAAAAAAAGAGCGGGGTGCAAGTCTTCAGATACCGTGAAGTCGGCCGACTGGTCCGTTCTCACCATGGGCTCATCAGCCTCACTTGGTCCGTCATACCAGGTCTTAGAAAAGGAGTGAGGGGGAGAGGGGGGACACAAATTGTAGGTAGTTCCAGTTAGATAAAAAATATCATCAGAGAGGATCATGGTGTGATTGACAGTATGGGAGGGGGTAGTGTGTTTATAAGGGGGGGGGAATAAATATCATATATGAGATGTGAGGGTTTAGTTCAGATGGTGGCAAGGGAGTGGGGACTGAATGAAAATGAATGGGTAGTCGGTAATAAATGTCATGTGACACATCAGAGATACAAATATGACAGAACTTGACTTATGCTGATCAAACACCTGTCATTGTATACATATTCAGTGATTTGAAATATCATCAGGAGGTACAGTGGGTGAATAGGACTATTATTTTTCTTTTTTGACATGTACGGGCAGCACAGGACATCCTTAAAACTAAAAAAAAAAAAAATTTCAAAATGTAACTGCAAAGAGAGAAATTTTATGGAAGGGGAAGTGTTCAAGGAACAAACAAGGGCATCAAGGAGGAATTTAATGAAGAGGTAGGAAAAGACAAAGTGACTTGGGAAGGTAGAGAGATAGAAACAAAGAATTGAATATCATTATTTTCATAATTCAAGAACAAGACTATGTGCAATTGAAAATTAGTGATTCATTTCATTTCAAATACAGAGTTCTTGTGTAGGGGAAAGTTTGGACATGGAGTAGGGTTTAGGATAAGATAATAGTTAGGTCCACGAGAGACTTGAAACAATGTCTTTCAATCAATTCAATAAATTGGCAATTCTAGATTTTTGTTTTAAATTTTGGTACAACTCCAAAATGAAGGTGCATCTGGCTAGACGTGGCCTAAGACTTTGACCCCTTCCCAGAAAAATCAAGTGAAATACAAAATGTAAAATATAACCACCCGCCATATCCCTTCCCGTAACTTTAAAATTAAGTCATTAAAAAATGTGACATAGTCACTCAAAATGAATAAAATCCACTTTTACTTATAAGCAAATGATTTGAATTTGCTTTTAATTGGGCCTTTTTAGGAGTTCCAGCACAAGCCAACCTTGCAATACATAGTTGCCATGGTATTAATTTGGAGCCGGATCGGGAATTTACCTGTGTTTTTTCCCCAAAAGGGTTTCTGTGGGGTTTTCGCCCATTCCGTGATCAGAAATTCATGCCTTTATATAGTTGAATGTTTAAAATATGTACAATGTATAGCTTTTCTTTAATATTTCTGAGATACGTGAATCGCTTCTTGTATAAATATTTATGTTCGTCGTATGTTTCACCAATGGACTTTTCCTGATGAGTTTAACTTTTCTTAACATTATTTAAAATTTGTTATGTACGCAGGGCCCCAATGGAAACCACTTTTTAACTGTTTGGGCATACCCTGGGTAAAGAAATGGAATAAATAAATAAATAAATACATGATAGCATTGTAAAGAACCCCAAAAGCAAACAAGACATCTGCCATTCTAGCCCCATGACAAACACGTGTGCATTTTAACACCTCATCCACAACTCCTGTATACCTTGCGCATACAGACTACATGTAGCTCTGCATATTTCTGTCATGTATGACAGTAAAAAAAATCGATCCATAATTCATCTTGCATCACAATTTTTTTTTCTTTTTTCGTGAAGTCATCCTGTTATTTGTGAGAAACCCAGGGTGTCGCCATAGGAATCATGCAGTTGCCGTGGCAACCAGAAGGGTCAGGTCCCCAGTCCCGCTCTCCTGTAATTGAATACATGGCTCCGGGCAACGGTGAGCAGGTTTTTTGTAATGCAACAATTTGGAATTTTAACGGCGTTGTACAACCTGTGGCTCGAGGCAAAATATAAAAAAAAGAAGAGCTGGCGCTGGTGAGATGTTCCATCTATCCGTCCGTCCGTGCCGTGACGGTTTAATGAATCGTGAAATGCACTCCCCCTTATTGGACAGATTAGTTTGGTAATTTATATGATCTTTGATAAACAAGTGAATCGGCCCCAAAGGTGTGCTAAGAATACACCCAGACGCCGATAAATAGGAATACTAATGAGACCAGACTTTTGCGGTGATCTCATATATTTGAACTCTTCCGGGTAGTTCATATTTACTGGCTAGTTTATTCAACGCACGAATCTGCACCAAGGCTGACCTAAATGGGCCAATGTACCCCGTGATTCTGATGAACTCGTAGTAGTGGTCATAAGTTTCATTGGCATTCAACCATAGATAATAAATCCTGTCTTTTGAGTACGTTAATCGGCTTGTTATTTATTTGGACAAGCTTTCCACATTTCATGTTGGTATTTAAAAGAGTCACAATAAATGAGGTCCCGGCTCCAACGGCAACCAGTTAGCATGGCGATTCCACATTCCAACGCTTCGGTAATCTCAAATATGTTTGTTGTTAGTTTTCACACGTCACAGTTACGAGCGCATCAACTGCGTGTGGTTGACCGTGTTGACAGTCCAAGTATAAATAGACAGTCCCCATATGCAGTTCCAAGTGTGATTTACAGAGAATAAAACCCACAACAAAATTAATCCCCGACCTGACTTGGGAAGTGATCTTATTTTATGGATTTGAGGAGTTGATGAGCAGCAGTTAAGTCTTCATTATATCAGGGTAAAAAGATTAGCAAACTCTTTTCAACATCTGAGAGAAGGAAATGGAAAGTTAATAAAATATCTTATTCTGCTCATTTTTCCACGTGGGATGCATGCAAAGTCTCAAGAGTTAACCAGTTCGAGCCGACTTTCTTTTGACAGTGACCAGATCAGGTGCGGGATTAGTTTTCACGAACCTCGATCCCAGGCGAGTTCAGGCCATGATATGCGGGTAGCACACCCTGATTTTTCTAGCCTCGCTCGCTGCGAGCGGGTTGCCGACACATATTTCCGGCCTCGCTCGTTGTGGGTTTATCAGTCATCCGATCTGAATTTCGGACAACTTTTGCGTGTATAAACGTCCTCCAGCTTGAACTGGTTAAAGGGGGATAAATGTTTTGATAATTCATTTGATGATCAATGATGTATGGATGGTGACATCAGAAGCACGCACTTGAAACATGTACAACTCGATCTTGAGAAAATTCCACTTCTTCTTTCTGCCAAGTTACATCACCGTAAAACTTGGCAATGACATACTACCACAGGATATCCAAACTTGTGACCTGGGCGCAATTTCACGGTGCTGCTAAGCACAAAATTTGCTTAGCTAAGTCTGGCTTATAAAAGCAGGTTACCAGCCAAAACTCCATGTGATTTTCATGCTTAGCAAACAACAGCTGAACACAAATCAGGAGCAATATACATCACGTAGAGTTTTGGCTGGTAACCTGCTTAATTTATAAGCCAGTTTTATTGGTGCTAAGCAAATTTTTGTGCTTAGCAGCGCCGTGAAATTGGCCCCTGGTTGGGGTCTATGTAGACATACTTGACAAGACATCAGAGCTCATCAGGCCACGGGACAATCATCTTTGAAGGCATCATCATCATTCTACTCCTCTTTTCCTCCCCTCCTTCAAATCTTTCATGGCACCTCTTCGTGACAGACGATCACGGAATGCGTCAGGCTGTAATGAGCATCTGACGCATGCTTTTACTGTTTCTGATCTGGTTAACATGTTAAGAGCTTGGTTGCCTTCGAGATTACCGACTACCGAGGCAGCCCCCGAGGCCAGGTGTGCATATATGCTGCTGTGTGGTGGTGCTTGAGGCTGTGGATATGCATGTTGTTGGGGCCCATTCTGGGACTTGACAACCAAACCACAAACATTGCAGATTTTTTAACCTGTTCTGCCCAATATGTGTACAGTGAGTAATAACCACGTTGTTACACATACCATGCACTTTCTCAGTTGAAGTTCATCAAACACTGCTAATGCACATTAGTTTGGCTACGATGCAGATGAATTTGACAATAATTGGCATTGTGCAACAAACCGTAAGTTTGTTCGTCAACATGAAACTCTGGATGCTCTGACAGAGGTCATGCAATCGCAAGAGGCCATGCCCATAATGAGACTGCCTATAGAATCAGCAACTTGGACCTTCACAGTACAAACTGTGACTACAATATCTGTCAAATTTGGCATTTTCTGGTTCTATTAATTAATTAGTCTCTAGTGGTCAATTTCCCATCGTTGGAATTTACAACAAAAAGCACCAAAGTGGCCTCAACGTCCACAGAAAACAAACGAAGTGTTAGACTTCCTGGCACAAGGCTTCCGTCCCATGAACTTATTCCCAAACTCGAAGAATCAGAGTGATGAATTTCCTTGCATATCCCGTAGAAGGAAACAGGATCCAAACGCTGAGATGCTCAAGTGTTGCCACAGAGCTCAGGTATCTCAAGAATACCGAAAAGCAAAGAACTCCTACACGTCCCAGACCAGACATAGACACATCATGTCATTAACCTTCCTGCTATTTAAACAGTCAGAGACAATCAAAAAGTCACTTCAACTTCCCCTAATATAGTTTTAACAAAGGCTAGTCACCAGCAGTCAGATCATATGTCAAGCAAGCACTGTGACTAGTCAAACTGGGTCAACAGACAAAGAAGGCAAGTTGTGGTCACAGCTGTCTTATCACTCACCCGGAGTCAAACTTTGTATCCAGTTACTTAAACTGTCCCAGCCAGTCAATCCTGCTTTATGTAGGCTGGGAATTTTTAACTGCTGAAAACAGTCACTTGTTTTTGACTGAAAGGATCGACTACCGGTACTTGGCACCGTTAATCTTAAATTTAAAAAAAAAGATGGTCTGCAATTTCTAAGATTGATCCAGTTACTTAAACAGTCCCAGCCAGTCAATCCTGCTTTATGTAGGCTGGGAATTCTTAACTGCTGAAAACAGTCACTTGTTTGGTTTTGACTGAAAGGATCGACTACCGGTACTTGGCACCGTTAATCTTAAATTTAAAAAAAAGATGTTCTGCAATTTCTAAGATTGATTCTTGCCAGCACATGTCAGGTTCCAAAAATCTCTGTTTCAGACCCCGGTCCAACATGGAGATTTTAGGTAGCGTGAAAGCTTT